TTAATTAAACAAACAGATGATTAATTAAATAAACAGCTGATTAATTAAACAAACAGATGATTAATTAAATAAACAGCTGATTAATTAAACAAACAGATGATTAATTAAACAAACAGCTGATTAATTAAACAAACAGCTGAGTCAGCAGATAGTAAAGCTCCACCTGGATGCCGGCTCAGGTGTTCCTCCTCACACCTCCTGATGCTCCTCCTCCTCTCCTCCCTCTCAGAGCTGGAGCTGCGGCAGCAGCGGGGTGGTCTCCCTCGGGGGGCGCTGCTGCTGACGGTCCGGGACCGGCAGGAGCCTCTGGGCAGCGGGGGGGCCACGCTGAACGCTCTGCTGGTGGCAGCAGAACACCTGAGCAGCCGGGCCGGCCACACGGTGAGTCCACCTGTCAGGTTCTCGGATCAGAACCGGGTTTTAGCTCCTCCTCCTCTTCCAGGTGGTGACGGCTGACGTCCTGGATGAAGCTCACATCCTGATCCTCCACACGGTGAGTTCTGGTCCCAGTGGGTCCAGGTGGGCTCAGGTGGGTCCAGGTGAAGGTGACTGACGTGTTCCCCCTCAGGGTCGAGACTTCCCCTGGAGCTCCTGCAGCCGGGCCTTCTGCTGGCTGCCGGACCAGACCCAGCAGGAAGTCCAGGCTCCCATCTGTGTTCTGGACCTGCTGCTGGACCGGCTCAGTACCCAGGTCTGCCGGACTCACAGAGGGACCGTTTGGTACCGCAGAGACCCGTTCAGTCACAGAACTCTGTTGGCTTGTTTCAGATCTGTCCCGGTTCCCCTCCTGGAGTCTGGGTCTGCAGCACCGACATGATCCTCACCGTGCCTCCAGGCTTCGGTCAGAACCAGAACCAGCAGAACCCTCCATCCTGTTCTGATCCAAACTCTGACCTCACTTCCTGTGTCTGACAGGTCTGTCCTGGGACGGCTTCTCAGGAGTCCGGGTCCTGGCGGTACCAGGTGACGTTTCATTCGCTGTCGACCATGGAGTCTACCTGACGGACCCTCAGGTACCGTGTGTGTGTGTGTGTGTGTGTGTGTGTGTGTGTGTGTGTGTGT